AATATATGATGGTTGTTGTTAGCCCTTGTTTTAAGTGTAGGAATATAATACTGAAGACTATAAGTTATTTATTATCATTTATAAATAATGAATTCTAATTGTAGGATAGCACAGACAATGAACAAATGAGTATAATGTAATGTTAGGATGTAATAAGGTTAGTGGAAAACACAGTACTATTAGCCCAGATGTAAGGGTGAGTTTCTTATGAAGTGAATATTTAAATATAAACCAAATGAAATCAGAGACAGAGTCCTGTTCTATTTAATGGGAAAGCACTCTAGGCAAGGGGAACAGCAGATGCAAAGCCTTGAGGTAGGCTTCTGCTTAGTGTATCCAAAGACCACAAAGTAGGCCTGCCAACCTGTTACAGAATGAGCAAGGATGGAGGGGATATGACAGAAGTTAAGTTTGGATGGTTAGTCAGAAGTTGTGGAGACTAAGAAACTGAGCAAGAGACTCTAATTTTATTCTAAATAAGATAAAGATGGTCATACTTACTAAAGTATATTTTTAGTAGGGATGGTGCATACATATAATCCCAGAACTCATAGGAGGCTGAGGCAGGACGATTCTGAGTTCCAGGCCAGCCTTGTTTTCATAGTGAGACCTTGACTTAAGAATTGTGTGTGGGGCAGAGCGCTTGCCTTGCATGCACGAGGCCCTGGGTTCAATTCCTCAGCACCACATAAGCAGAAAAAAAAAAGCCAGAAGTGGCACGGTGGCACAAGTGGTAGAGCGCTAGCCTTGAGCTGAAGAGTTGAGGGACAGCGCCCAGGTGCAGAATTCAGGCTCACGACCGGACCCCCCCCCCCCACAAAAAAAAAAAAAATTGTGTGTGTGTAAGCTGGGTGCCAGTGGCTCACGCCTGTAATCCTAGCTACTCAAGAGGCTGAGATTTGAGGATCACAGTTCAAAGCCAGCCCAAGCAGGAAGGCTCATGAGACTCTTTTCTCCAATAAACCATTAGAAAACCAGAAGTGGCACTGTGACTCAAGCAGTAGAGCGCTTGCCTTGAGCTGAAGAGCACACAGACAGCGCCCAAGCCCAGAGTTCAAGCCCCACTACTGAAAAAAAAAGAAGTGTGTGTGTGTGTGTGTGTGTGTGTATGTGTGTGTGTGTGTATCCCTTCACTGTGTGCAGTTAAATTTTCTTTTTGCTCTGTTCATAGCTATAAGCATTATCCACAAGTAACAATATTGGATATTAGGTTTTTTATTTTTAATATTGTGTATTCTAGGTGAGTGGGCTACTAATGAGCTCCATCCCTACCTAGCCTTTGAGATTAGGTTTTTGACATCTTTTGTGAAAAAAAAAAAAGATTCTGATGTAGCTATTTCCATTATTTGTATTCTTGCTATTAATTTAAGACATATTTCATTGTGTACTTAAATTATTTCTTCTGTACAGCCAGTTTATTGATGCTTATTTTAGTCCACATTTCAACAAGTATCAATCCTTGCTCTTATTTGCTGAGATACTTTCTTTTCAGAAAGTTTCTGCTTGTGCCAATAGGTTCCACTGTTCTCCCTACTGCCTGTAGTAGATTCAAAGTCAAGTTTTATAAGATTCTTAATTCACTTATAATCAATATTAGTATGGGGTCAGAGATAGGAGTCTAGCTTGTGAACTATAATATGTCATAGGGAAGGTCTAGTCTGGTCTAGTTTGTTGGGTATGTGCCTCCTTTACCTAGATCTTTTTCAAGATCTGGGAAATTTTCTGCTGTTTTTGAAGTTTCCTATGCCCTTTCTAGTACCTCCTCTTCATCTATGCTCATAATTCGTTAATTTGGTCTTTTAAGTAGAGTCATCAAATTCTTGCAATTTTTTTCATATTCCTTTAATACCTTTTCTGTATTTTCTCCTATGTCTGCTTTATCATCAAGCTCTGAAATCTCTCTTCTATTTCATCTGCTCTGCTTGAGAAGCCTTCTACTTTATTTTTCATTTCTAGGACTTTGTCCCTCCACCCCAGAATTTCTGTATCTTTATCCTTTTTCATGTCTTCCATTGACTTCTTTACTTCATTTGTATATATGAACCTTTGATCTCTTTCAGCTGCTTTTAGTTGTATTCTCTTTGAGCTCATTTAACTGCTTATTTGATTTACTTGATATTCGTTTAGCATTTTATTTGAATCTTTTGTGAATTTATATAGTTTTTCTCTTGTGTTCTCTTTGATTTGATAGAGTTGTTTGTAAATATCCTCTCATTTAATTCCTTGAGCTCAGGATATGGGGTTTCTCCACTTTGCTATCATTGTGATCCTTTGTTGTGCAATAATTAGATTTTGGAGGTTATATTTTCTTGCTTTCTCATTTTTGTCTATCTCTATTTTGCAATTTACTCATTTGAAGACAATTTGGTGATTTGGGGTTTTCATTGCCTGAAGTATTTCTGGTGTATTATTCTCTGTATTCTCACAGGAATAGTTATTAGCTGGTTCATGTGCAATTTTGCACTTCTAGTGTGAATCAGTACTGGCACCAATAAAGGTACTGTTTAAGTACCCAAACTGATACTTACAAATAGTAAAATAGCATTGGTAACATTATATACACAACTAATCATGTTATATATTCAAAGGTACAACATTCTTATGTATTGGAAGGTTAGAAAAAGAGTAGTATTTAGGAATTAGAATTTGGGTATTATATATAAGGATGGTGGAGGAAGAGGAAAGAAAAAAGGAAGGGGCAAAAGGGAGTGTAGTGTGAGTGCTGTAGGTATAGAAAGTATTTGTGTATAAGTATATAATTCAGTTCTCTGTGGAGGATAGTATTACCAGGAATAGAAAGGTGAACAATAAGGAAATTAGGGGGTTTGTCTTGCTTGGGTGACTTGTAAGAAGGGAGAGGAAGAGGAAGGAAGGAAGAAAGAATAAAAAAATGGAGGGGGAGGTGAAGGAGGAGGAGGGGAATGACGACTGCCAGCAGTAGGGTTGTCAGGAAAGGAGAAGATCCTGCTATGGTGGGGCTCTGTCAGCAAGAGTTTTTCTTTCTTGCCTCTTTTAAGAGGTTTAAGATTGAGTGATTTTGTTTCTTCTAGTCATTGTTCTCCTGGAGCCCTCATTTAAGTAGAAGTAGACTTTTCCCATCTGCCTTGTTTCTGAATTGGTCCGTGGAAAAACAGGAAAGGTGGCTGTCAGCAGCCCACTGTTTTCTTTCTTTTTCTTTTTCTTTTGGTTGGTCATGGGTCTTGAACTCTGGGCCTGCATGCTGTCCCTCAGCTCTTCAGCTCAAGGAGAACACTCTACCGCTTGAGCCACAGTGCCACTTCCAGTTTTCTGGTGGTTAATTGGAGATAAGAGTCTCATGGATATTCCTGCCTGGGCTGGCTTTGAATCACAGTCTTCAGATCTTAGCCTCCTGAATAGCTAGGATAACAGGTTGTGAACCACTGGCACCCAGCAAGCCCACTATTTTCCTTTTCCTTTTTCTACACTTTGTTATCAAAGCATATTTATCCTTTTTTCATTTAAAAAGTTACATATTTATTTTTATTAAAAGTTACTAATACTAACTACTATATGTATAGTGGTTACTGAGTTTTTTTTAATAAGCCATTTTATAAATCCAGAGCAAGATAAAACTAAATGTCAAAACATTTTTTTGTTTGTTTGTTTGGTGTTGGTCTAGGGGCGTGAACTTGGGGCCTGAGCTCTGTTCCTGAGCTCTTTTACTCAAGCCTAGCACTCTACCACTTTGAGCCACAGCTCCACTTGCTATTTTCTGTTGGCTAACTGGAGATGAACGTCTTATGGACTGTCCTTCCTTCGAACCACAATCCTCCCTCAGATCTGAGCCTCCTGATTATAAGCTAGGATTACAAGTTTGAGCCACCAATGCCTGGCTTACAACATATTTTTTTTTTTCTTTTTTGGGTCCAGTCGTGGGGCCTGAACTCTGGGCCTGGGCGCTGTCCCTCAGCTCTTCAGCTCAAGGCTAGCACTCTACCACTTGAGCCACAGCACCACTTCCAGCTTTTTCTTTTTGCTTATGTGGTGCTGAGGAATCGAACCCAGGGCCTTGAGCATGCAAGGCAAGCGCTCTACCACTGAGCCACCTTCCCAGCCCTACAACATATTTTTATCAGTGATAACTCCTTAAAGTATCTGATTGAGTTTAAATTTGGCCAGTTGTAGAGTCCAGTCACCTTTAAATTGGTTAGTGAGGGGCTGGAGGCGTGGCTCAGTTGGCAGAGTGTTAGCCAGATAGGCACCCGGTTCAGGGCACCTAAAAAGAAGTAACAACTAATACTTTTCCAGGCTCCGCTGTTGAAAGAGATGGAGGACAACAGTGGAAGGGGTGACTTTGATCAATATACATTTTGTTCATAAAATGTTATATTGAATTAGGCCCCCTTTGTATAGCTACTTAAAGATAATTTTAAAATACCCTTTTAAAAAAGATTTGGAGTATATCAGTATTCTGACTGCAAAGAGCTTTTCAGCTGTAAAAGTCATTGCTTTTTCCTTCCACTGTGACTTCAGTTTTACATTGTGTTTAGTATTTGTTTCTCTGTTATTACTAAACAGAGATGAATGCAGAAATCTTGAGTAGGTCTGCAGAGCAAAAAACTGCTTCTGGTTTCCACAAGATGTGTCCTTCAGTAGGAAGTTGGATGGGAAAGTAGGGAAATAATGAGATTCCAGACTCACCTGTAAGAACTTCTGACTAGGAAAGGGTTTAATTTTTTTGGCTTAATTTTTATTAGTTCTTTTAATTAGTTCTTTTAATCACCTAAAATAAAAAAATAGCATAAGCTAATTGTACAAAAAGGTTTTGTTGTGATACTTATATGTAAATACTGTACATTGATTAACTTTGTTTGGCCCATATTATTCTTTCTGAAAGACCTTCCTATGCTCCTACCCCCTGTGTTTTTAGTGGATTTCATTATAGTATTGAAAACCGTTTTAAATGTGCAGTTTATTTAGAAAAGAACCATGTTATTTTTCCAAACTGATTATCATTCTGTTTTCCCACATTTCTCCAGAGATATTACATATGAAATATCAGTGGAAGCTATATCAACAATGGTTGTTTTCCTTTCCTGTCAACTTTTCCACAAGGAAGTTTTACGGCAGAGCATAAGTCACAAGTATTTAATGCAAGGTCCATGGTAAGCTTCTATTTTAAATTTGTCTGGGTTGTTATTGTGTAATCTGTTATTTCTAGTTTTTCTTTCAAACCTGACTGTTGTCCTATATTCCCAAGATGTTGGTCATTCTATCATTACTTCACTTGTAATGCAGAAGAGACTAAATTCTGGTTCTTGTTTAATTGAGCTGTCCTTCCCAACTTCATTGCTTTCTCTAGTACAGAGGATTTGTATCTGAATCTTTCTCTGATAATAATAGCCAAAATGACCTTGCCTTGAAGGAGTACATGGCATTTTAGTGCTTTGAACACCTTTGCTAAAACAACATTGTGAACTTCATTCTTTTTGAAGTTTTTATTTTTAATTATGTTTAGGTAGTCGTATAAAGGGATTTCAATTCAGCATGTCAATGTACATCTTGATCAGTGTCTTTCTATAATGCCAATAGTATTGATGCTGAAATTAATTAATTAATTAATATTTATTTGGGTCCAGTCATGGGGCCTGAACTCTGGGCCTGGGCGCTGTCCCTCAGCTCTTCAGCTCCAGGCTAGCACTCTACCACTTGAGCCATAGTGCCACGTCCAGCTTTTTTCTTTTTGCTTATATAGTGCTGAGGAATCGAACTCAGGGCCTCAGGTATGCAAGGCAAGTGCTCTACCACTGAGCCACCTTCCCAGCCCCTGAATTTTATTTTTGAGATTGTCTTGTGAGAGACTTTGCACTTTATAGGCATGCATTCTACCGCTTGGGCTATGCCTCTAGCCATCATTGCTATAGTTGTTTTTTAAGTACCATCTTGAGGTTTTTTGTTTTTTGTTTTTTGTCGTGGGGCTTGAACTCTGGGCTTGGGCGCTGTCCTCGTGCTCTTCAGCTCAAGGTGAGCGCTCTACCGCTTGAGCCACAGCACCACTTCTGGTTTTCTAGCGGGTTTATCGGAGATAAGAGTCTCATGAACTTTCCTGCCCGGGCTGTCTTTGAATTGCTATCCTCAGATCTCAGCCTCCTGTGTAGCTAGGATTACAGGCGTGAGCCACCGGGTGCCTGGCTACCACCTTGAGTTTATGCCTGATCCTTCTCTTCCATGTCTCCTGCATAGTTGGAATGACAAGTTGTACACTATATACCCAACTATTGGTTTGAGATAAAGTCTCAAGAACTTTTTACCATATATAGGCTTGAACATTGATCCTTCCAATTATAGATTCTTCCAAGGTTTACAAGAATGAGCCACAGCGCCAGCTTAAGTTGTATTTTTTTCTAAATAAGTGTTCTAAGTTACTGTGTTTTTAATAGAATCCCTACAGTACCAAATATTTAAGCCATATTATGTTCTTTTACTGATTTTTATGGAAAGCATATTCTAAAAAGTTCAATGCTGCATTCACAAATGTAAAACCTGTATATAGATTATAGGAATTGGTTTATTACTAATTGAAAAATTGGCTAAATAGAGTATACTTAATAGATTATACTAAATAGATTATACTTAATATAATCTTTTGCTATTTTAAATGCTTTTTTTGCTGACTATATATTACTGCCTTTTTTCAAGTCCTAGGTACTTGATTATATACTAAATTATATACTAAATACTATCTTGCAATGTCACATAGAAAACAAAGTAACAGACACTTGAGTTTTAATGATTTGATCAATATCTTTATGTGTGGTTAGAGGCAAATCCAGAATTAAGCCTCAAAACTCATCTCAGTTGGGCACTGGTAGCTCACACTTATAATTGTAGGTACTCAGGAAGCTGACATATGAGAATCATGGTTCAAAGGAAAAGCCCAGTCAGGAAAGTCTATGAGATACTTATCTCCAGATAACCACCAAAAAGTTGGAAGTGGAGCTGTGACTGAAATGGTAGAGCACCAGCCTTGAGAAAAAAGCTAAGGGATAGTTCACAGTACTAGCATCAACAACAATTTAAAAAAGTTCATCCCAACCTGTCTTTGAGACAATATTAATGGCTGAATAATTCCATGTCATTGTACAGAATTAAATGGTTAGTATAATTGAGTTTGATTTTTTTTCTTTTTATGTAGTCTTCCATTTACCAGCAAACTTGTGAAAACCTTATTATATAACTTTATCAGACAAGAAAAGCCACCTCCTCCAGGAGCCCATATCTTTCCCCAACAATCAGATGGGGGAGGACTGTTGTATGGACTGGCATCAGGAGTAGCAA